CCTTCTTCACAGGGCACTTCATGGAAAAAAAAAATAACACAAGAAATCTATGGTTCAACAGCAAGTCTTTGGGACTCAGATGGCACCTTGGTGCCTGAGAGGAGCAGCACTTTAGCTGCACAGGATTTCTTTTCTGCTCTACTTTCCGCACTCCTTGGAAGGACTCTACGTATCTCTATCTAGCTAAGGACAAACAAGAAGAAAGCACATGCTGATGACATTGGTGATTGTACCCAAGCAACTCGCCCAGGCCAGAGAACAGAGACTCAATCATTTCACTCCCAAAAGTACTATTTTGAAGCGTGGGCAGGTAGTCAAAGAATTTCAGGTTTGGATATTTGCAGAAAATACACAATTTCCTAACAAAAATGTTTTCAGTACCATGAACAACAATAATAAAATTGGGACAGAGAGAAAATGGAAATTAAAAAGTCAGGAGAAATGTTCATATTAAAATAGAAGAGTGTTTTTTCCCCCAGTGCTTTGGAAGAAATAAACAATTGCAATTCCCACACTGCTGTAAAAATCTGTCTTTAGTAAAACACAACTAACGCCCCCAAAACAGCATTAAAGGTCGGCAGAAACAGATTCTCCCACCCGGCAGAGAGCAAGCAGCTTTTTGTCGCATCCCTAAAGACAGAGCAGAGACAAACACTCGCAGGGTATGTAAGTCAAAACTTTGCTTTTTTGAGTCCCAGCTTTTTCACAGCTCTCAACCTTTAAATCACACTGATCCGTGAGGAGGGAGCGTTGCTGAACGTGCACAAGTGCCGCCCCTCTCCGAGGTTCGGTGCTGWATCACCGGGCTCCCCGCAACCTGCACGTTCTCTATCAACTGGGCCGCAGCAGATACCGCCTCACGTGGCCTCTCGGGCAAACGCCCTGGTGGGCGGATGCGCTGAAGGGGAAGCCGGATCCCGGTACTCGCTGCTGATTAGAGCCTCTTCACAGGCCTGGAAGCACCACAGCAACAGGCTTCCCACCGTGACTCAAAACAGTAACTGAAGAAAGCCAGAGCCCCCGGGGGTTCAGAGCAGTCCAATTGCTGTCTCTAATGATCACATGGAATTTCATAGTACTAACGAGAACTCAATTCAAATTTTCCCTGATCTAAATCCTAGCCCCAGTGGAAGCGAAAGAACAAACAGCCCAAACACCTGCCAGAACAGTAGATATAAGTTCAGCAGTTTCACTTTGTTGCCCTGAAAAACATCAAATTACCCAACCAAGGGGGAATTTTTCAAATACCTCCTTGCGGTTTCTAGGAACTGCCCTGCACAGATACTCCCTGTCCCCGCTCCACAAGTGGCCAGTGGCTGAAGCGGGGCCAGGGACCCATCCATATCTCTGCCAGCACCCCAGGTGGGCAGCAAAGCCACCTCAGCTCTGTCTTAGCTACAAGCCCCTCAGCCTTGGCCAACTGAGGGAGCAGGTATCGGCCAGGAACAACTTGTAAAACCAAGGTACACTCACAGACTGAATCTGGCCTGCACGTGCCAAACACCAACTGAGCCAGGAGGTGTCCAGGGAGAACTGAGGCCATCAGGGATTCATCATCGTGATAACAGCAGGGATGGTTTCTTCATCTCCTTCCCTCTCTCTCCTGAGCTGCCCCTTCTCCTCTGCGTGGCAAGGAGGACATTACAAGAGAGGATAGGGGACCCAGTGCAGATGGGATCAGCATTCAGTGTTCTGCTGGGGCACTCTGGCTATGGATGGGAGACACACAGAGAAGCAACTTGAAGGGAATCCTGAAGAACACAGTGACCCTCTTTGAGGGTGGCAAGAGAAAACTCAACAAGAAAACAGAAGATTTTAAGGCCTAGGAGAACAGTTATGTCATCAAGTCTGGCCTCTCTGTGCAGTACAGGTTCCAGGATTCCACCAAGTCATTCCTATATTAAGCTCAAAAACTTGCGGTTGATACTGCTTCCAGAAAAACAGCCTCCAACACTCTTAAGCACCCGATGAAGTGCTCTCAGAGAGACTTTAGGTCCTCCCAAGGTTACAAGGTGTGCAGCAGACACAGCTTTCGTGAGGGGAAAGACAGAAGAAAAGCAGTKATCCACAGGCTCCTGGACCCTGAGTGGAAGTGACATCTCACCCAGCTGCYCACTCCTCCATTTTGACCTTGGCCCTGCCTGATCCCCTATACTGCAATGAGCAGAGATGCTGTTTTTGGGACTCCTTCTCACTCCCATGACCTAGAACCACACAGCATTGAAATGCAGCAAAACAAAAAACCCACAAAATAACTTTCCATATTCACACCAAAAATAAAATTTTAAAAGGAAAAAAAAAAAAAGAAATTGGAAACAAAAGGCTTTTATTCAGAAAAGGAAGAAAGAAAAAGAGCAGCTTTTAAATCCTCTTTCCTCATATTTTAATTGAGCCCAGGGTTATGCCACAATTCAGGTAAAAGATGTTTATGTAACTGGTATTTGGCTGAGTGTATAATTCCTATTTAGCAGCTGAAGAGAGGCATTTTGGGGCTTCAAAGAAATCTGACAGGTAATTCCCACCATAGTTCTGCGGGGTAGCTGAGAGGTAATTATCCTTCTCACTAGTAAATCAATTAGGAATGAATGTATGGAAAGCTTTTCCCCTCCTCCAAGTAACTGCTAATCCTCTAAGCACTAATGAGCAGAAAGCGTTAGCAACAGTGTGCAAAAACCATCAAAAAATCGACAGGAGCTGAGAGGCGTGCGGGGCCCAATCAGTACCTGGGAGCTCATGCCTAAGGAGAAAATATCTTGCCTGGCAAGGGCCTGCCCGTTTCGTCGTGTCCACACAGCCCTTGTGCATGTCTGTTGCTTTTGGCATCTTCCTCCCACTGTTTATTGCCTAAAGTAGAGATTTATTTTTGCGGCTGGCAAGGGATGACTGCTTTTTATTCAACTGGCCAGCCCCCTGCTGTCAGAGGTGAGGGACAGGGGATCTACCTAGGCTTTCCCTACCAGAATGCAGCCCTATGCACCTCCTGCTTTGTGATTTATTATTGGTGGTTGTGCATGAGAGCTCAGCAAAAACATGATTCTTGCAGGTCAGTGAAATAATATTCACCCAGAGAGACTTGGGGAAGATTACAACCTAAACATCTTTTGTGTGGTATAGAAGTCTGTAAGGCTTGGGTGCACAAGTAAGCCTGGTATCGAATGTGACAAACCACAGACACTCAAATCCAGTGACACCTTCTCCAGGCACTTTTCAAATGCTGCATGGATGCCTGGCACTGCTTTGCCTGTCACCAGAGCACAGTCAGCTCTGGGTCAGAAAAAACAGGCATTTAACCACGCACAGCAACAGTGGGCATAAATTTAGCAGAGAGGGAAAAGAGGARAAACAGTTGTTCCCACAGCAGGTAATACGGACACCTGGTTTCCTGTGGATTTTCCTTACAGACCATCTCTGCATTTCAAAAGACATTTTAGAGGAAAGACAAAGAGGGAAGACAAGCAGGTCTGKAAATAATTTCCTTTAAAAATGCTACTTGTAACAAGGAAACAGCAGGTAAATAGGGCTCTCTACCTCCATGTATCATGATATGATGAGATATAAGACTGCTAAATCTGTAGAGGTTGATAGCTTGAGAAGCTGCTAGAAGATAACCAGACATCCTAGTACTCAGATTAGCAAGGGAGAGCTTACACCAGTGACGTAGTATTTGTAACTGAGCATATTGCCACTGATTTTGGGTGGGCAGAGTTGCGTTGGAAACAGAATGAAGGAGAATTAACTCTTCAGCTAGCTCCACAGATTCACTGTATGGGATTTAAGGAGCAGGCAGGGGGCTTGATGGCCCTTTTACTTTTTTAAAGGCCAGAAGAATTCATTATAAAAATACCTCATTTCCATTTTGCTGAGAACAAAGAAGTCATGGTAGTTTTCAAGGCATTCAGCTTCTGCACCAAAAAATAAAAGCTGACCCCTGCCCACTGCTGGTTCCCTCTCCTCCATACACTCAAACACTCATATATGGTTGTCTATAGTAATCAGAGCTACRATTGCCTTAAGGTTGAATACACTGAAATAAACATCAATCTTCAAATCTCTGTGGACTGACCAAYGATGGAAAAAAACAAAACAACAAAAATAGAATAATAACAGTATGAGTAGCAAAATACAACTTTGGAAACCTACYGAGGGAGGCAGTAGATAGGCAGTTTGGAGGCACTCCAGCAGAAGGGGCTGCACGCCATGCAGCCCCGAAACTCCCCTGACAGCAATTAGCTACACGCCGAGCCCTCCCACGGCGATTCCCGTGGGCAGCTGAAAGCGCCTTTGTCCCATTCTCTCCCTTGAATCAGCACAGACACTAATTTGAAACCAGAAAGGCGCGGGGTAGTAGCTGCCGGGGCTGCACTGTGAGCCAGCCACAGCCCTAATTGCATCACGTGGGAAGTGCGAGCAGGGGGTGAAAGCTGTGACCTCATGTTCTCTCCTACACATTCAAATCAAGTCGTAGGTCTCCCACCTACTCTCCCAGGCATATTGTCCTTGCAGCCCCCTTGCATGATGTAACCAACAGAAATGTCATTTACATCTTTATTTCCAACTCCTCCGTCAAACTGGGAAAGCATAAAAGGAAAAGCGTCAAATACTGAGTAAAAGTCATTCTTTCCTGCATTTCTAATAATAAAGCGACAGTGAAGTCAAGGGAAAGTGTATTAGCTGAGACCAGYATAAGCAAGAATCCCAGAAACATTTGTGCAGGTTCAGTTCACTTAAAGTTTTAAGTCAGAAACAAAAGTAACCCTTTTCTCAGACTGGGCACATTTCAGCAGGAGAATACAGACACCACTGTGACTAAAATAAGCAAAAACAGTCAAAATAGACATAATTCTATCAAACTCCATAGAAATGAACTAGTGGAACTTGGAACAGAAATTTGAACTCGTGAATCTCCAGTGGATTTTATTTTAGGATGGTAATTCCTCCCAGGATGAACACAATGGCATAACTTTATTTCTATAGCTMCCAGCTCGCAAACTCTCCCTTACCTTCCTCTTATTGGTTGGACTGACATAAAGGTAGCTCAGCACCGTCTTCAGGCCTACTTTGTCATTTAGTTTTTCATAGGTAGTGCCATAGTCTGTCGACCTGCAGAAAAAAGGAGACAAAAAGAGTTTTTGTGGTTATCAGAATTTAGGGAGGAAAACAACCATGAGAAGGGAGATGCAAAGTTACAGCTTGACCATTACACTACTGAACATTGTGACTCCTGTAACTGCAACTTTTGTGTTTCATTCAGGGTGGCCAAGGGAGAAGAGAAAAGAAACTGAAGTCCTTCAGATAGGGTCTGACTCAATACTCAATACTCATTACTCCTAGTGCGTGTGGATTACTATCGGGCTGCTTTGAAGACCTCTGTCGATGTCAGGRGTTCTGCTCTCATGTGCTGGTGTCCAGCTGTAGCGGTATCTGTAAGGGAAGATTCTGACCACAGCAGCACCCTTAGCACAGAAGCTCCCTTTTCAAATAGCTCCAACAAAGGAACTGGATTAAACGTATAATCAACAACCTCATTGTTGTTGGTAGGGTAACTTTTGACTTTGAGATAGAGATCCAAAAGCAGCTCACATTTGTAACAGCTAGAGAAAAAAAACACATCTAAACTGGCATCTTGAGTCCTCAGTCTCCCTCATCCTACTTTATGCCAGAAATTCAATTTATTTGAGTTACAGAGACAGATTCAGGCCTCTACACTAGCAAATCCCACCCAAAGGAGCAGATGATCTGGGGGTGGCATTACTCAATCGTGACTGGAAAAAAAGGACTGCTTCGTCACAGAGGGTTTTCTGCAGCTTCCTCCTCCTCCTTTGTGGGCATTGTTGAAACCCCGCTTTGCCCTTTTTCTCTTCTCTGTTGTCATACTCGTTATTCCCGACAAACAGGATTCTTTTCCCTATCAAGACAGATCAACATCTAGCTCAGGTTCCCTCCATGAACAGCAGTCAAGAGCAGGTGCTTTAGGAGCAGGTGCACTGAGCTTAGGCAGAGTTCACCCTACTGTGCCCAAGGGACAGGGAGGACCCAGCTCTYGACTTCACACATGCTCTATATCATGTAAAGGAAAGACAGGCAGATGGAGAAAGTCCATCACAGGGAGCCTCACCAGACAAACTCGATATTTTATTAAAATAAGAATTTGTTCATAACTTCCTCTCCTTAATCATCYTTCTCACCAAACAGGTGATTAAAGAACATTTAGAAATACAACACTTTTCCTGGAAATGAGTTTCAGCAATTGTCTAAGCTCAGCAAGCCTCCAGCAACAGCAGCCTCGTGACTTTGCCCATGACCAACCTCTGCTTCTTGCCCACTTGACACAGAAAGAGTCTGTGTTGTTCTCTTGGCATCGCAGGGGACATCACTACTGCTTCCAGCAGAAACTCCTGCAGAGCCTGAGGCAACACCAGAGCCTGCATCTGACCCAAGCCCTCTCCTTGTTTCTTCCATATAGCTAGTGCCACACAGAAGCACCCTGGAAGAGCCACATCACAAAGCTAGAGGGCTGGTTTCAGGCTTTCAAGTCAATCAGTAATAAAATTCAAGAGGCAAGAGGCTTTATTTTATTACTCCTGAGGCCCTAGCACATTTACTTTTGCATGTCTTTAGAGCCTAATTCCTAACTGTTTTGCAAGTTGGTTCTTTCTGAAATGGGCTGAACTAATCTTCCCAGCCAGTGGTGTTTCCAATCTCACACAAACTCCCTGCTTCAGGCTTTTTCTCTTAACACTAAACCCCTCTGTAGTTATCAATATCATAGAAATTACCTAGCAGCTTTCCCTTACAGCAAACTTTGAAATTGAAGCAGCTTGATTAATAAAACTGAATAATTCAGGACAATTAATKCCCCTGCATGAGGCCTCCAATACATACAAATTCAACAGGTCAGGAGTCCTCAAATAACACCGAGCTCTGAGCAGCAGGGCAAACACCAAGGTGCTTCCTCAGGCCACCCCCTTCCAACCATGCTGAAGTGCCAAACGAGCCACATCCRTGACTGTCCATGTATCAGTCACCAGCCAAAGGGATCACTGGTTTCAATCAGCATTCAAAGAGAATACAAAACAGTTGAATATTCTCACAGAGATACTTCAGTTTTGTTCTCCAAGTCATTTTCAGATCTCCCCAAATGCTTCACTTCTAAAGATGCAGACTGGATGCCCTAATGACTCTTCCTCATTAAACCATTATCACTCATTGCRTTTGCCCTTTCAAAGAATAGCTAGAAAAGAAGGAGGATCATTATTGCGTTAGCTTCTCTGAGGTTTTCTTTATTATGATGACAGTCACCACTTGCTTCACAGAAACATCTCAAAGGAGATCACAATAAAACACTATTTCCATAGCACTTTTCCATCCAGAGATCCTGAAGCTTTTGTCTGGTGCTAATCCATTCAAACTAGCAAAGTCCCAAGGGCCATAYTGGGAAATACTATCTCCATTTTAGAAAGGAAAAAATAAAACCTTAAAAGCTTGCATAGGTAAAGGCCCACTTTTTTTTTTTTCCAAAGGCAGACATTTACAATTAATCACTTCAAYTTATTTAATCATCCAGTGCATTGCCTGACACTCAAAGCTGCTAAACCCCTAACTCTAACTCAGCTCAGTAGTTTGAAAACAATTATTTACCGAGGCATTGATAAAGTTGGCTGCTTCATTTTAACAAGCTAAGCTTGAACATCTTCACAGAAGTGACTCACATGTGGAACAGCACAGTCCTGGCACAGCTTTTAATCTTAGTTTGAACCCTTGACCATTGACTAACTGCTCATCTTTAMAGAAACAAATTCCTAATTCAGCTACCATGTCCTCTCAATTGCTTGACACTACATGCCATTAGGATATGTATTTTTCTCCATTCCACTTGTTTAAATAGCATATACTTCAAAGCACACACTGAATCAGTTAAGGCACTAGATTCTACGTATTACCTTGGGAAAAGCACAATTTATAAGGTAATTAATTTGTTGGGAGACTGAAAACTCTCTTTCCCAACTATTTATACCAAAATATGGTTATAAGAAAGTTATCTGCTTGATTACACTACCCTTACAGGCCACCACATATTGCAACCACTGCTACACCCACTGGCATGTTCGGCAGAGGAAGATCCAAGAGACACACACAGGACAAGAAGCTTCTCTCTACCAAATCCGGTCATAACTTGATACATTGAAACTAAGAAAATGCACCCTATTCCTATATTAGGTTTCTTTGCAAATGCACAGCCAAGCAGATAGGAGCCAGTAGACTCTAATACAGTGCTAAGATTCACTCATCAGAGTCATGAAACAAGTATGGAGACAGAGGGGGAAAAAAACGGAAAGGAGAAACTCACCCGGGACAGCAATAGGAGGGCTGCCTTCCACTGAGATGAGTTTATCTCCAAAACCAACGCAACTCTGCTGAAGGCCATCTGAGTATCTTTCAGAAGAAACTTAATTTCACATGGTTTCTATCTGAGGGCTCTATTAGGCACAGAAAAGGGGGGGCTGTTTGCTGCAGTCCCAACTATTCAGCTATGGAGATGGTCTGTAAAACTCATCTCCGCCTCTCAGGAGCAAGAGCTGTAAATGCTGGGGCTGGTTGGCTGGGAGGGGCAAACCCCTGGAGCAAACACGTGCCACCAAATCCACTGTTCTCAGTGTCCACTGCTCTCCCTGACAGTGCATGGGGAATGAGCAGGTACAATTTTCATATTACACCTCGGTACTTTTCCCAAAATGCTAAAGCTCATGCATTCATCTCAAGATCAGCCTCCTGCACACACATGCCCAGGTCCGCACRTTGAACCATGTGGGAGCACAGCTCCACTTAAATCAGCACAAGGATATCCCAGTCCTCCTCACACTGCAGAGTGACACAACCACACACATCCCCGTTCACATTTTCCTCTCATGTGCCTGAAATTCAGGTGCTTGCAGCCTACCTGCCTCCCTATGGTCCCTCACACAACTCCTTGTTTCTACCCACCGGCCAATTTTCTCAGTTTGACAGAGAAATAAAAATCTCAGAGAAAGAGAGTTTCTACAAGTTTCAAGAAAACCACCAGGGAATGGAGAGCAATTCCTAGTGTCTTCAGCTCAAAGAAAAGCTGCGGCATGAGCTGGACCTCAAGAGGCAGCAGAGCAGACACAGCACAGGGCATAGCCAGCAGCACAAGAACATTTAAATACAACCTCCATATTAATATGCTACAARGGCCCCAACTGCACAACACAAGACATTGGGCTCCCTAATTGCCACTGTTTGTACATTGATTTGATTCTCCATCTCTTCTTCCCTCCATCTCCCCCTCAGTTTTTCTTACCCAAGATACAGGAATTTCTGAAGTTTCTACAAAACTGAGAGGAGATTCCTCCAAAATACTATTTCAGTTTGCCTRGTCATCAATGTAAGGCCCTGGGGTCAACAGCCTTAGTGACAGCAAGCGGCCCAGGACACAAACCCCTGCTTTGCACCACTAAACRGCTTCTTGCTGAAGCAGAGTAGGTGCCAGAATCACAGGCTGAGTACATTGTCACTGCTCAGAGCAGGAGAAGCTCATCCCACTTCGAGACAGGGCGGAGGGCTGCTCCTCACTCAAAGGGCAGCAGTCGTTCAGCAGCAGGTGCTGGGAAGCTTTTGCCTAGAAGCTACACAGCTCTGTTGGCAGGGCTTGCGTGCTGGACGGCCCACAGCTAGCCAAGAGCACCAGCAGAGTTGGCCTCTCCTGGCAYGGCCCACCCCGAGAGCCTGCATGATCCCAGAAAGCAGCAGTAGGATTAGGGGTTATTTAGGTGGTCATTCTGGGTCGAAGTGCAGGCCCACATGTTTTTAGGGGGCCATGGAGACCCTTGTGCCATTCCCATGATGAAGAGCACAGGGTGCTGGTCAGGCAGGTACTGCTCCTGCGGCAAGAGGCACCTACTCAAGACCTGTGCTGCCTCCATGCTCTGGCTCTCTAAAATTCTCCAGTTCCAGGCAGATTATTCCCTTTCTTAATTGCTCAACATTTTGGACTCTTTCCTGTTTTTTGTGTAGTCAGCTAGGGTGTTTCTGCGGTTGAACACTCTCTGCTCCCAAAGGCTTTCTTCATATTTAGATCCAAC